TGTATTTCATGATTTTAGAACGAAAACTTCCCGGCTAAATCACATTCACTGTATTTACTTACTTCGAAGCATATCACAATTACACGCAATCTAATACACGAAACTCAAAACAACTGCTTCTCAAAACTCTTGGTGAACAAAATACAATACCAAGAAAACCACTTAAACTTTAGCGCTTTACCAGCAATCGTAAATGTATAATTGAAAAAGCGTTGCCAGATATATTGCCTCTAGCAATTAATTAAAGTTTATTAAAACAAGCAATTGTGAAGCTTGACTCATCAACATGGATGAGTGGATGTATTTAATGGTGAATAAATATCGAGGGATTTAAAAAAAAGAAGAAGTAAACAAATTATTTACCCTTTGTGGTACCTTAACATTAATAATCATGCCATGGCCAACAACCAAAAACAGTGCCGTACCGTTTTTGGAAACACGGCCTCATATGTTTATTTCCTCAATGTTGTGTCCAGAACACAACATTTCATGAGATATCAAGCGTCTAATCCCTAAAGAATGATCGAGTAATATAATAAATCGAATAGAGCTTTCGATGAATTTATAGATAGCATAACCTGCAAAAATCATATGTAACGAATAATGGGAAGGCATTGTATTCTTATCTTTTTGAAAATCGTGCAGCTTCCTGTATGTACTCTATTATTTTTATATATTTGGGTGAATTACGTTTTCATTGAGTTTCTGGAAGTTAAAAAAATTATAAATTTGAACTATATTGCTCTAAGAATTGAATTTATTGAATTATTTTAGCCCAATCCGAACCTATCGAATCGCCCCAAAAGTCCCTACCCAGAATTCCAAGAAAGCACGTCAACTTACTTAGCTTGAAAGCATCGGTATCAACAATATTTTCAATATAACAATCAGGTTGCTATAAGATATTGAGCAACGTGAGTTACTCAGAGTTACTCAAAATTAACTCCGATTTTACTCATGATCGAAAGCTGTCTTGCCCCCAGGCGTGCTCCCAACTTAGTGTTCTAGATGCACTTCCACAGTTATTTATTTGTCGAGCATGGAATTACAAAAGTTTGTATCACTGCGCCATCTTAGCGGCAACAAACAGAACTAGTTTTATTCACTAAATTGTAGTCCTAATTAATCCAAAAACCGGCACTGAAAACGTCAACTCAATTGAATGCAATCCCATGAAACGTTATTATTTTACCTGCTAGATTTAATTCCTGACTCACTGTGCATTGGAAGCACCCATAAGATCTCTGAAAATCCTTTAAGATCACTAGAACTAAGTTTTCTGAACTACTTGGAACTTCTTTGAACATTCGATAATATTCCTCAAGTTCTCTCCACTTCTCTGAAGTTCTCGTGACTTTCCAAACATTATTTGGATATACCAGAAATAATTAAAATTTCTTTAAAGTGCCTGAAGTTTTTCTGAAGCTTATGAAGCTTCTCTGAACTTTCTAAAATGTACCAAAAGTTTCAGAACTTCCCTTGTGCTTCCGCAAGCTGTTTATTAAAGTCCCTAATATCACAGAGAACAGACGTCCAACTTCGGTCAGAAACTTGTGTAAAGACAAGTGGGAACATCCCTGTTGCATGGTGCTAGCATCTCCTGATTTTTTCTATAAATTTTCCACTTTCGACCAATTTGGTGCTAGCACAGACAAACAGACATAACACATTGAATATTTCTCAATGTAAAACATCGTCGCTAAAACATTACCGGCCTCTGTTGAGTACACTGTGCTGGGTAGTACGCTGAACAGATGGCGGTAGTGTGTAAACGTCAAACTCAAGGAAAATGACTATGCGTGCCACAGGTGGCGGTACTACCAACTACGATACTTTTAAATTGACCGTTAAATGCTGGTTCGATGAACAACTTGCGAGTGTTATGTCTGTTTGTCTGTGGTGCTAGTATTGATACATTTTCTGTTGAAAATTACCACTTGGCGCTACCAGCACTTAGTGTCTAGTATAAGTTTTCCAACGCCAGCGCCATCAGGTTGTCAAAGACGATTTTTAACGGAAATCACCATTAGTGGCGCTTAAGTCGAATAGGAATCTTTACACTAGTTTTGAGAGAAATTTTGTTAGAGCCTCAAAGTATGTACTCTGTGCTAAAATTATCGGCATTTCCTTTAATTCCTCGGAACTTCTTTAAAGATCCTACAATTTCATAAAGATAATGGGACTTTCCCTAAAGATCTTTATTCTTTCCTGATATTCACGGAACTTCCCTGAAGTGCTTGCTATTTTCCTGATCACGTTCCTGAAATTTCCCTGAAACTGTCCAAAAAATCTCAAAACTTCACCGAAATTCCCTGGACTTCCATGAATTTCATGAATCTTCTATTCAATTTTTTTCTTAAGTTTACTTAACTTCTGTGCAAACTTGGAGAACTTTAGGACAGTTCCATTAGGTGTGGGAAAATAGTGGGAACCTTCAATAAGAACCTCACAGAGCAGGGTGCCTTCCATTCATTTTGGATAAAAAAATGTTTTATTAAATTATAGAACAATAAGATATTATAGTAATATTTTATTTGTGTAAGCAACAAGAAAAGACTGTGAAGTTTGTGTTTGGCACATAATACCTGCCAATTTTGCTACACGAGTGTCACAATAAGCGATTTTGTCATTTATTTCACCCACTCTTCGCTCTTCACTCTTCGCTCTTCACTCTTCGTTCTTCACTCTTCGCTCTTCACTCTTCGCTCTTCGCTCTTCGCTCTTCGCTCTTTGCTCTTCACTCTTCGCAAAGAGGCGATTAGAAAATCGCTCATTGCGACTCTGCCAAAGTTAAATTTGCAGGTTTTATGCCGCAAACACAAACATTACAATCTTTTCTTGTTACTTACACAAACAAAATATCATCATAATGTCTTATTAATCTATAATTTAATAAAACATTTTTAGCCAAAATGAATGGAAGGCACCCTGCTCTGTGAGGTTCTTATTGAAGGTTCCCACTATTTTCCCACTATTTTCCCACACCTAATGGAACTGTCCTAAAGTTCTCCAAGTTTACCTAAGGTTCTAGGAACCCGAAATTTTTCTGGTATTAACTGAAGTGAATTTTTCCGAAAGCTTTGAAAATGTCCTGAAGCTATCGGACACCAATAAAACCAAACTATTTGTACCTGGTGCGCTGACATATTTTAACGCACATTTGTAAGCAGAATTGTTTTAAATGTTTGTTTTTGAGCTTGGAATCGGCTGTCGACAGAAGCAGGCCACTCTCGATGTGGTCCTCCTCATTGTTCTTCATCAGCAGTTCTTCCGGTCGATGCCTCGTCAACTTTGGAAAGCACCCGTTTAGTGATGAGTGTGTGAGTGCTGACCACGTCTTGCGTCCATTGCTGCAATGGAAGCGCTCTGATCCCCGTTGGCAAAACTGTCATTCAATGAAACCCCTGGAAGCGGATCCCGTTCGGAAGGAGGATGCTTTTTGGATAGCGAAAGAGACAGTGTTTATTGTGTTGTATCTTTTGACTATAGCTTCAAGATGTTGTATGGTGAACAAGAATCCTCGGCTCTGCAAAGTTAATTCGATTGAGCCTTATCAAATAAATTAATGAAAACAAAAAAAAATGAAGGTGCTAATTGAATCTGGATGAAGACAGAACATTTCTCATGTTGTATTTTTGTAGCGCAATTTATCTCATATGTGCGTCTAAAAATTCAACAGTGAACATGTATGAGGGCGTATACGCGATGATCGATTCTCTTCATCGATTTTCTCTTTGCATTGCTGGCTAAGCGAAACCATTTTCTAGCATTTGTTCAACGCAGAGTTGTAACAGGTTGTATTGGCTATCAACAGCAAACGCACCGAGAAACGGTAAATCTAGCGAGTTATTAACAAAAGAGAAAATCGACGAAGAGAATCGATAATCGCGTTTACGCCCTTATGCGTGCTCACTGTCGAATTCCTCTAGACGTTTTACCTTTAATGGTGGTAAGCTCCAACCGGTATTATCCTCGGATTAAATCATGATCAAGAATGTCCGGCTGCTTTGATGTCGACATCAAAGTGAATCAACGCGACTTTAAGCAAATATTTTGCAGATCATCCAAACAGGGACGGTATTAACAGTTAATCCGAGTTGGAGCTTACCGCCATAAGAGAGGAACGCAAGTAGATCGCTATTGTTGAGCCCAGTTAATATTGATTATGGAATAAGTTCTCCAAGTAACATTGCTAGTTTTACAGAGGTTTTATAGCACTCTACAAGTCAAAATCATGGTCAAAAAAAAACCTCATAGAACCAAAATTGTTACTTGGGTAGTTAGTTAAGGAATAAGAATAATAGTAATCGGTTTTCGGAGCTAGTTACTCTTGGACAATGCTTTTAACTCGGGGCATCCCGGGAAATTAATCAAAATTCACGTTTCCGAATTCCCGGGAATTTTCTTAAATTTCCCGGGAAACAATTTTAGGCGTACTTTTGGGATAAAAATACAAGAACATTCCCAGAATAACCTACGGAGAAAATTTGCAAAAACGTCTAGAAAAAGTCTAAAGATCTTCCTACGGAAATCGTAAGAATGCTCTAGGTGAAGTCAGATGAATTTTCTAAGGGAAGCCAGAATAAATCTCTGGGGGAGTCTAGAAAAAACTGCCGAGGAAATCAGAAGGCATTTTCAGGCGAAGCCAAAAAGACTTATCGAGCAAGTCGGCAGCAACTTCCGGAGATCCAAAAAAAACTTCTAGGGCAGTTAAGAACATTTAAGTTGGTTGAACCTCCCACCGGAAGTCAATAGAAGTCCACAGCTCTCACGAAACAAGAATCCCGATGGCCATAATTGTTCAAATAATGCGCTAATGAAGTAAAAATCTTTCAGATTGTCCGGGACAGACTCTTGAGATTGTAACAAAAGTTGATTAATAAATGTGTTAGAAACAGAAAAAAAAGAGACAGGTTAAGTTCAAAAGAGTGAGGGAAAAGTAGAAGTAGAAGTAGAACAGAAAAGTTACGGAACAAATCAACAAAAGAAGTCAAAATTACCGCAGAATGGCTAGAAGAGAAGGAAGAGTGGCTAGTGGTGATGGTGGAAAGTCGTCCTTCGTCGTTCTTGTTGTTGTTGTTGTTGTTGTTGTGGTTCTTGTTGTCGGTGGTCAGTGACTCGGTGCCAGCGACGACACGGTACACGGTTCCGGCAGCACGTGCGGCTCGATCGGCCGTTTGCTTTTAGATTGTTTATTGTTTATTGTTTATGTTTTTTTTTTCCAGTTCAATTGTGACGTTTCAATATTTTGACAAATGAAAGTTTGACGTATGAGAATTGTTTGGTTTTGTTTCGTTTTCGAGAGACGAAGTTTGACAGAGAGTTGGAAAGCGGTGCAGTTTTGTCGAGGTGTGTTTTGGGTGCAGAGTGAGTTGGGTTAGAGGCGGGGAAGAGGTGTTCATTTGTGAAAAAGAAGAATAAAAAAAAAATGGGAAAGAGAAAGAAGGTCAAGAAAATCAAAGTGTCAAAGTGTCATTTGCTCCGGTGGGATAATTGCTTCAATGTGGTTGGTGGTAAAACAGTCGGAAATAGTTTAAGGAAAGCCAGCTGTTAAACCAGCAGGATACTTACACGGATGATGTCGAAGAGGAAGTTACCGGAACCGCCGGCTCCGCCCGAGGAACCGCCAAATAGAAATCTGCAAAATCAAAATGTAATGTCAATCTTGAACACTAGGACTGGAATGTCAGGGATTACCTTTTGTTACGATCCTCGTCGTTGCCTTCGGAGTCCAGCGAGAGTTCGTCTAGGGCAGAGCTCTTGGCCGAGGCGTCACTGGCTTCGTCGTTTTCCCCCACGGATTTGATGTCCTGATCGGTGGCACGCGCCTTACGGATCGCATTCAGGGTGTCACTCAGTCCGGCCAAATCCAGCGATTCCAGCGTGTTCAGGTCCTGGGTGGAGGTTATCTACGGAGTGGGGAGCCGCGAATGGTTGTGCACACGGGAAGCGCGATCGTGGTGGAAGGTAGGCGGACCATGCACCGTGGATGGAACATAGAACACAAACCCACATGCAGGTTCACACACACACACACATAGAGAAATGAGCGCGAGTTTGGAAATGCACGGGTGTGTGGTGTTTTTTTGCGTTGGTCGGTAAGGTAGGTTTGTTTTTCACGATAGATGATTATTTTGTTGTTTGTTGAAAGAATTCGAATTCGAATTTTAGGTTTGGGATGAAAAAGATGAAATGAGAGCATTAAATGAGTTTGGTTTGATTTCTGTATCATGTTTAGGCATTTGTTTTGGTAGGATTTCTAAGGAAAATTATTACGATTAAATCTAGATGCGGGGAAGGTTATGAAGGAAAAAGAGAGTGAAAGTGAGACAGGAGACAAAGTTTTCGTCGGAGAATGAGAAACAGATGTAGAAAGAACAAACTGGGCTCTACACAGCTACGGAATGCGAATACGAGAGGGAGAGTAGGGCAATGGGAAATGACTGCCAGAAAGGGTAGCGGGAAGAACAGAACACACACAGAGCGAACGATCCCATACAAGTGTCATCGTGAAAGTACGGTAGTTCAACTTTTGGCCACCGGATCACGCTACAGTACAAAGAGAGAGAGATAAAGAGAGAGGAAGAGAGTAAGAGAGGATGGTAGAATGGTAAAGCAGCTGTCATTCTTTTGCCTAAAGTTCAAAGCATTATGAAACATTCAGTGGTTTGTTATGGAAGAGCAATGACGGAATCGGTCATGCTAGATAGTTGTTATTGCACAAATGATTCGATCTATGACACACAGATATTACAACTAAAAGAAGGAGAAGAAGTCGAAGAAGAACAGAGAGATTTGTAAAGAGAAGAAGAGAGCTACTAAGATTAATCATAAAAATAAATCCCATGACGAGCGCTGCCGCTACTGTAAACTAGATGGCGATGCGCCCCGTCGGTAAAGTAGATCTACTGTTGTTTTACACCAGACAGTCTTCTAGCTTCGCTCTTGCGCTACACACACACACTCAAACACTGGTGAATCGCTACTGGACTAAATTAGAGTTGTTTGTATCTATGTAGTTGTGTGCGTGGAAATGGATGAGCCGGAAGTCTCATACCAAGTTGAAATCGGTGCTGTCTTGTGCATTCTGTGTGGTCGTCAGTTCAGCACTGCTGCTGCCACTTCCGTTGCTAGTGATGGTGCTAGGTGCAGCCGTATCGGCGGAAAGTGCCGTAGTCGTGGGATCGCTGCTTGATAACGACGACGACGACGACAACGATGAAGAAGAGGAGGAAGTTCCCGAGCTGATAGCACTTGGCAGTGTTGCCGTCAGAGCGGCTGCCCGTTTGCGAATTTCGTTTTCATCCGATGTGGTAGAACTGGAGTCGGTACTGGAAACGGCCTTCTCATCGTCGTCGTCGCCGTCGTTGCTCGGTGGGAACGTGGGCAGCGAAATGCTCACTTTGCGTCCACCGTCGCTGGAGTCGTTCTTTTCGCTGTCGGCTTTATCATCATCATCATCATCATCATCAAAATCAGCGTCGAAATCATCGTCGGTGGTTCCGCGATTGCTGGCACCGCCGCCAGCGCCGCCACCCAGACCGCTGCGGAGTAGGATCGGTCCAATGGTGCGGAACAAATAGGACGTGATCATCTGGATTTTCTGATCCAGAATCTACATAGTAAAAGGGGGGAATCGGAAAGCATACGTGGAATCGAGTTCAGAAAATAAAGCTCATATTTACAACATTAATTTGATGAATTTCTGAGTAGTTCTGGAGGGAAAAAAATGACGATGGCGACATCTATGAGTGAGCGTGAGCGAAGCGACGCTTGTCGTGCTAGTGACATGTGATGAAGCGGTTTTTGGTTAAGATCAAGCTGTGAATGCAACCAAAGGGGGGTAATTGATCTCTTAGATAAAATAAAAAGCTTACAACGCCCTGATCGAAGAAACGCAAAAAAAGCAACCAACATTGGACGGAAAAATGAAAGTTGTTTCCATTCTATCCCTGAGTACGATTTTGCCTTCGCCGTGTCGTGGTCGTCGTAGACCGGAGCAGAGCAATGCAGAGCCGTCGTCCTTCGGGGGGGTTGATTTTATTTATTTTCAATTTTCGTCCTCTAACCGGTCGCCAACGCCACCGATGTGGTTGGTTTATTCAGTTTCTTTTATTTTTTGTTTATAGTACTCGTAGGCTGCACTGCTCTAATTGCACGCAGTCGGAAGAACCCACAACGCCTGGCTGGTTGATCTTTTTTTGGGGGGTGAACCAAAGCCACAAACCCGGAGGTGACGAACTCATAAGCACCAGACGGCGGATGATTGATAGCTGATCGGTCACGATGGAGTCAAGTTAAATAGGTCTCAGATTGACTGAGCGCGTGACCCTTTGAGGTTGCGTCCGTCGAATCGGTTGGATGGTGGATTATGAGGAGCTATTATGACATTTGAAACGCCTCGGTGGAGAAGATTACTGTTGCTCAGGGGGGGTTGACGGCAATTTATCAATCCCAAATGTCCCATCCAACGATCAACATGTTTTTGGTGGTGTTGAGTGGGTTATGAAGATGTATTTTTAATTGCGGTTGATTTATTCATTGGTCAGTAGGGTTAATCTGGCTCGAACTGGTTTCGACGACCGATCTGTTAACAGCAACGAACCGACATGCCACAGGAGCTTTTCGTTTGTCCCCAATTCGAATTGTCAGACGAGCGATTCGGACTTTCGAACGGGCGATCAGATATGTCAAATGAAATGAGAGGCAAACAAAGGCAATATAAATTATACGTGGGTTCGTGTCCTAGCTCATAGCTTAACGTAATATGGCGTCTTGGGCACGAATTGGAAAGTAGCTTGTATGAGCTATCACGTCGGTTCGTCGGTGCTGATAACCTCAAAAGAAATATGAGACTTTGTTAGCAGTCCTGAAGCGATATATTTGATGGCATATCGGGCCCAGTCTTTTTAATTAGACGGTTCAAATTAGTGTTTCCTACCCGGGACATCCCGGGAAGAGTTTGCCGGGAAATTGGCAAAAATCCACAAGTGAAAGTGGTTCGATTTCTCGGGAAACAGCTGTTTTGAGCAGAAGCTATACTAAGCATACATTTCCATTTAAAAGTAGACCTTACCATCCGGGAAGTTTACTAATTTGATTTACTTGGGGGAGTCAGAAAAACCTTACCAGAGAAGCCGGCAGAAACTTCTGGAGGAATCATTCTGCAGGAATCATTCTGCAAGAATCATTCTGTAGGAATCATTCTCGAGGAATCATTCTCGAGGAATCATTCTCGAGGAATCATTCTCGAGGAATCATTCTCGAGGAATCATTCTCGAGGAATCATTCTCGAGGAATCATTCTCGAGGAATCATTCTGGAGGAATTATTCTGAAATAATCATTCTGGAGGAGTCATTCTGGAAGAATCATTCTGGAAGAATCATTCTGGAGGAATCATTCTGGAGAAATCATTCTGGAGTAATCATTCAGGAGGAATCATTCTGCAATAATCATTCTGAAAGAATCATTCTTGAAGAATCATTTTGGAGGAATCATTCTGGTGGAATCATTCTGGGAGAATCATTCTGGAGGAATCATTCTAGTGGAATCGTTCTGGTGGAATCATTCTGGTGGAATCATTCTGGTGGAATCATTTTGGTGGAATCATTCTTGTGGAATCATTCTGGAGGAATCATTCTGAAGGAATCATTCTGCAATAATCATTCTGGAAGAATCATTCTGGAGGAATCATTCTGGAGGAATCATTCTGGAGGAATCATACTAGACGAATCATTCTGGAGGAATCATTCTGGAAGAATCATTCTGGAAAAAATCATTCTGGAGGAATCATTCTGGAGAAATCATTCTGGAGAAATCATTCTGGAGAAATCATTCTGGAAGAATCATTCTGGAAAAATCATTCTGGAGGAATCATTCTGGAGGAATCATTCTGGTGGAATCATTCTGGTGGAATCATTCTGGTGGAATCATTCTGGTGGAATTATTCTGGTGGAATCATTCTGGTGGAATCATTCTGGTGGAATCATTCTAGTGGAATCATTCTAGAAGAATCATTCTGGAGGAAAAAAGTCGAGCAATATAAAAAAAAAACTTCTCGTGGAAATAGTATATACTGCCAGAGAAAACCAGAAACCAGATGGATTCTGAAGAAACTTCCGGAGAAGCTGGTAGAAACTTTCCAGGCAAGGTAACAGAAATTTCCGGAGGAAGTTGGAAGACACATGCAGGAAACGTCAGTAGGTATTTCCGGGGGAACTCTAAAAGTCGTGAAAGTCGGAATTTAGAAGTAGGTACCAGGAGATTCCCGAAGAGTCTTCCTTAGGAAGTCAGAAGAAGCTTCCATTGGAGATAGAATACAAATTCCACTTCAACGAAGCCAGTAGGAATCATTCTTGTGGAATCATTCTGAAAGAATCATTCTGGAGGAATCATTCTGGAGGATTCATTCTACATGAATCATTCTGGAGGAATCATTCCGGAGGAATCATTCTGGAGGAATCATTCTGGAGGAATCATTCTGGAGAAATCATTCCAGAGGAATCATTCTGGTGGAATCGTTCTGGTGGAATCATTCTAGTGGAATCATTATAGAGGAATCATTCTGGAGGAATCATTCTGGAGGAATCATTCTGGAGGAATCATTCTGGAGGAATCATTCTGGAGGAATCATTCTGGAGGAAATATTCTGGAGGAATCATTCTGGAGGAATCATTCTGGAGGAATCATTCTGGAGGAATCATTCTGGAGGAATCATTCTGGAGGAACCATTCAGGAGGAATCATTCTGGAGGAATCAGTCTGGAGGAAATATTCTGGAGGAATCATTCTGAAAGAAATCATTCTGAAAGAAATCATTCCAGAGGAATCATTCCAGAGGAATCATTCCAGAGGAATCATTCCAGAGGAATCATTCCAGAGGAATCATTCCAGAGGAATCATTCCAGAGGAATCATTCCAGAGGAATCATTCCAGAGGAATCATTCCAGAGGAATCATTCCAGAGGAATCATTCCAGAGGAATCATTCCAGAGGAATCATTCCAGAGGAATCATTCCAGAGGAATCATTCCAGAGGAATCATTCCAGAGGAATCATTCCAGAGGAATCATTCCAGAGGAATCATTCCAGAGGAATCATTCCAGAGGAATCATTCCAGAGGAATCATTCCAGAGGAATCATTCCAGAGGAATCATTCCAGAGGAATCATTCCAGAGGAATCATTCCAGAGGAATCATTCCAGAGGAATCATTCCAGAGGAATCATTCCAGAGGAATCATTCCAGAGGAATCATTCCAGAGGAATCATTCCAGAGGAATCATTCCAGAGGAATCATTCCAGAGGAATCATTCCAGAGGAATCATTCCAGAGATTTTGGTAGAATTTTTCCTGCAAAATCGGACGAAGTTTCTAATTCTAAAAATTTAATAAACTGCATTTAACTAATAATTTGTAGCTGGATGAACATATTTTCCAGTTCCTGAGAATTCCTCTCAATTTCCTGGTAGTTCAAAAAAGCCGGGAAATTGAAACACTAGTTGAAATGTTCCACCTAGAAACAGGATTTCTAATACTTTGCATAATGTCTTTGTGAGTCACTAAAAGAGATAAGATTTGATCGCAAATTAGGCCTCTGGAAGAAGTAATTTGTAGATTACTTCCTCAGACATTGAGGGGTTCATGGAAGTGTCTGAGACAGATCATTGGAAGGTGCTGAAAAAATATTTTGCATGCTCTTTTAAATAGAGTTTGTGGCCACCCCTCTGTAATCTGGAGGATATTGATCAAGTCCTGCAGTAAAGGGACTCGCTGAAGATTACTTCCGGGAAGTGCAGGAATGATAATTTCAAGACTCCTAGGGCTTGAAATGATTTCTCAAAACACTTGGAGACTTCGGTTCTATAGATCATAAAGATATACTCATTGGCGAAGCTAATGTGGGAGTCAAGGGGGCAAGGCCCCCTCCAGAATTGTTTAGTCAGTTTGGGTTCATTTCGTAAAGTGCTGAATCACTTCTGAAATGGTTTCAATCACTTTGGAATGTACTGAACCACTTCACAAAAGTTCGAAAACACTTCTGAAAGTACTGTATGATTTCAGAACGCACTGAATAACTTATTACAATTTCCAAAACCCTTCAGAATGTACTGACTCACTTCAGAACAGTTTAGACTCATTTCGGAAAGTGTTTCAATCACTTCGGATATCACTGAACCACTTCAAAAAAGTTCGGAATCACTTCGTAAAGTACTGAATCATACCAGAACGTACTGAATAACTTATGACAAGTTCGATACCACTTCACAAAGTACTGAATCACTTCAGAAAAGTTTGGACTCATTTCGAAAAGAGCTGGATCACTTCAGAAATATTTTCAATCACTTTGGAAAGTACTGAATCGCTTCATAGAAGTTTGGAATCACTTCGGAAAGTACTGAATCAATTCAGAACAGTTTGGACTCATTTCGGAAAGTGCTAAATCACTGCAGATAGGTTTTTAATCACTTAGAAAAGGACTGAACCACTTCACAAAAAATCGGAATCACTTCGGAAAGTACTGAATCATTTCAGAATGCACTGAATGACTTATGACAAGTTCGAAATTACTTCAGAAAGTACTGAATCATTTCGAAAAGGACTGAATCGCTTCACAATCGATCACTTCGGAAAGTTCAGAATAACTTCGGAAAGTGACAAGTTCGGAATCACTTCAGAAAGTTCTGAATCACTTCGAAACGTATTGTATCAATTTAGAAATGTTCAGAATCACTTCGGAAAGGAATGAATTGCTTCACTAAAGTTCGGAATCACTTCGGAAAGTACTGAATTATTTCAGAACGTACTCAATAACTTATGACAAGTTTGATACCACTTCACAAAGTACTGAATCACTTCAGAAAAGTTTGGACTCATTTCGAAAAGAGCTGGATCACTTCAGAAATATTTTCAATCACTTTGGAAAGTACTGAATCGCTTCATAGAAGTTCGGAATCACTTTGGAAAGTACTGAATCATTTCTGAACAGTTTGGACTCATTTCGGAAAGTGCTAAATTACTGAAGAAAGGCTTTCGATCATTTAGAAAAGGACTGAATCGTTTCATTGATGTTCGGAATCACTTCGGAAAGTACTGAATCATTTCAGAACGTACTGAATAACTTATGGCCAGATCAAAATCTCGTCAGAAAGTATTGAATTACTTCGAAATGTATTGTATCACTTTATAAATGTTCGGAATCACTTCGAAAAGAACTGAATCACTTCAAAAAAGTTCGGAATCACTTCGGAAAGTACTGAATCATTTAAGAACGTACTAAATAGCTTATGACAAGTTAAAAATTACTTCAGAAAGTACTGAATCACTTCGGAAAGGACTGAATCGCTTCACAAAAGTTCGCGATCACTTCGGAAAGTTCGGAATAACTTCGGAACATTACAATTTTGGAAACACTTCAGAAGTGCTCAATCACTTCAAAATGTATTGTATCAATTTAGAAATGTTCAGAATCACTTTGGAAAAGACTGCATTGCTTCATTACAGTTCGGAATCACTTCGGAAAGTACTGAATCATTTCAGAACGTACTGAATAACTTATGACAAGTTCGAAATCACTTCAGAACAGTTTGGACTCATTTCGGAAAGTGCTGAATCACTTCAGAAATGTTTTCAATCACTTCGGAAACTACTGAATCAGTTCAGAAATGTTTTGGAATCACTTCTGAAAATGCTGAATCACTGAAGAAATATTCTCTTGGGAAAGTACTGAATTACTTTTATTTTTGGCCCCTCGAAGATGGTTTTTCAGAACTGTCATTCAGGATGTGACAACTTCTAATTTACTAGAACAGGTCACTTTTGAAAATCCTCTTATAAGAGATCTTTCAATTAATCTAGAATGAAGCTTAAACCTGAAAAAAATTGGCTTTTGAAATTTACAGAGGTCTCTATGACTCTCAGGATGATGACATTAAATTCTTCACCGGAGAGTTTGGTTCAAGCATCTAAAACCATTGCTGACCTCAAGAAGAGATTGGTTCTGATCTGTACAATTCCTTTTATCCTAAGGAAGCCATTTCTTATTTAAAAGGGGCCATTTGTAGCCGTTAGAAGATGACCTTCCAGCGCTTTAAAAGCCAGCCTTTCTTTGGTTTCTGGAATAGGTCTCTAGGGGAAACCTTTACCTTCTTTCCAAGAAGATTTGATTGGAGTATCCAGGCCGGAGAGGTTGTGTTGGGTTGCCTATTAAATACTTCCTGTCGAGGTTTACTAAGCCAATTTTAGCGATCATTAGCGCTAGATCCGAAAATTTCTGTTTGGAGACATCACTTTTAACTGTACAGTTCAATTTTGAACTAAGATTTATAAAAGATTATATTCTAATACTGCCAAAATTCCACACACAAAATAACAACCGTGCAATGCAAATCCAATGACTGAATTCTCAACCACCCTTTCAGCGAAATAACTCCACTAACCTTCACACGCACAACGACGTGCCTTATGGAATCTGACAGACTATCATCTATATACAGAGACCCCCCCCCCCCCTCGACGTGCCTTTCGGCCATGACTGCGTACCTACAATGGTCACTTCTCCTCATTCGGTGGCATTGGACTTGAATTCGTCAGACACATGCCACAGTCCCAGATGCGCTTATCCTGACTTCTTCACTCGAACAGCAATGGTACTATTGCAAGCAAGGACTGACCTAATAGGGGCTTCCGAAAGCCTCATCAATTTTCGCTTGCACTGTAACTGATGGATTGCGAAGATCTGAGCGCGTGCGTGCGCTCGGTGATGAACAATGAAGGATGAGCTTCAAATGATGATTGCAGTAGAAGCTGAAAGCACACTCAAACGACAACAAACAACACTCGAAAAAGACACGGCCAACGGGGATGTGAGGGGTGCTGTGGATTGAAGGGTGAACACACGACAGGAAGGTGGTAGAGGAAGAGACATTTGTACAACAAAGTTCCGACGGTTCGCAGCAATCGGAAATGGATCTTGGACACGGTTCTAGGCGGGGGTCTTCTCCATTTGTGGAAAAATAGAGATGATGATGATGCGGTGGATGGTTGAGACAGGGGGTTTCCGATTCGGAACTGTATTTGGTTGTTGAAGTGAACGGACGATGTGTGACGGTCATCCCGAATCACTTACCTGCGAGATAGTTGGGAACAGCTCCCGGAGGATGCCGATCGTTCGCTTGTTGCGTTCGTTGATTTTCTGGTCACCGGAGTCGACCAGTGTGATGACGTCTAGTTCCTGGAAATAGAGGATGGGAACGGGTGAGAAACGAACATTTTTTAGTACATTTGAATTGAGATTACAATTATTTAGTACAGCATGAGTTTAACAAAATTTGAACTTTCACAAACTTCTATACGGCCATACAAAAAAAAACATGAGGCAAATTTATTTATCGATGAGTTCCTGAACTTTTGGCGGTTATGAGTAAACTAAACTCAAATATGGGTCATTCTCATTGGCCGTGCGCACCAAAACTGCCCAAAATGCAGCGCTCGCACACCTGTCGTGTTTACTTTTGCCCCATTTCTGGTTCAACCGAGCGTCCAACCAAGTGGCATCACGTGGGGGGATTCCCGCAGTCTAGTGACCCCCAAAATCAGCAGCTTCAAAACAGAAGCCTCCCTGCTCTGGCCTAACGATTTCATAACAAACATCGAGCGAGCAGAGGAAAAAAAAAACCAGTTTGCTCAAGCCTGCTACTCACACACGCTTTAAAGTCGGATTGGGGCGCTTGGCCAAGAAAGTGAGTGGCAAATGGGGAAAAAAATAAGACAAAAGCAAGACGAAAATTTGTTTAAATGGTCGAGAAATACCAGTCAGTCGGTTATGAAAATTATCAAGCGGCTCGGCCGCGGCGGAGAGGTGGATGAAAGCGAAAATTGGTTAATTTTGAATGCTTTCGGTTTCGGTTGCAATCGAAGTGGGTGAGTCGATGGTTATTTGGCCGGTTTAATTCGAGAGTGATCGGTTGATTGTAAGTGATAATTTATAGGCGTTTATTGATTTTTTTTTTGGCTTTGGATAATTGCCCGATTTTAGATGGGGTTTCAGCAGGCTATTACTATTACAGTATTGTATGATAAATTTTAGTACAGAGCTTTTGTTTCAGAATGGGGATCAACAAACGTGATTTTTTTTTAATTGTCTTGAAAAACCACTTTCTGAGTAAGTTACGTGTTCGTTAGATGCAGTTTTAGGCATGAAACTTAAACTTTTGATAGAGCTGGAAATAGGGCGTAACAGCTTTTGTAAACAATGACTTCTCTCGATGATTTCTCGAAACTCAAGTCACCCCCACGCCAACTAACATAACCAACGGGAAGAAGAAGTCTTCCCCTACCCGATGCAGATGTTGATTTAACGGCAGAATCAAATGTGCAGCGATCCCATCTGTCAAAACCATTTAAATGTTTTATCTAGATAAACATAATTTGTCCGGAATAGATTAGACACGAACCAACTCATAAATTTGATGGCTAGGATAAATATTTTCCGCGTACACTGCCAGTTTTGTGCTTTGATCAGAAATTTCTTGGTAATTTGTATGATCATTAATGTCGGTTTGTCGGTGGTTTTAGCACAAATTAGTAAGGATCTTCAAATCAGGGGAGACAGGTGTTTTGAGGCAAAGTCTTCAACAAGATCGAACAAATGTTTTCGTCGCTTCTTTTCATGTTGGCGAATGGGGGTAGGGCTTTTGATACGTTATTTTTTGTTTAGTTGATATTCTACGATTTATGGAAATTTGCATGTGCCCGTGGTCTATTTACTCCTAAGGTTTGCATTTTTGATGAGTTTTATTTTAAAAATAAATTATTTATACCGAAGATGTACTTTTTGAGATATTTACACCTTTTTTAATTTTTACTCAAAATTACTAAAACAAACTTACCGCGTATATTTTTCCCAGAATGATTTTACTTTTCTTAACGAATTTATGTCGTCCAGCATTGCGATCAGAAGTGAGGTTTTAATGCAACAATTTATTGAAAAATGTCAAAGACGCCATTCTAATATAAATCACTAGATCCAAAAATTTTGCAATAATGTGAATAATTGCCTATAACACATAGCTATGCAACACAGCTAAAAAAAGTAGTGTAAATTTCCGTTACTATGATGCACATAAATGGAGCGTCATATATCATACAAGTTTAGATTAAAGGACGTGTAAATTTATGAGACATGTCATGCTATATTTCATATATTGTATGCAACTGTCCACTTTTGTTTGCAACATTTCTTGCAAGCTGCTAGTTTACGTTAAAAGGAAGTTTACATGCATGAATGTTTGCATGCATGGATGTTTACATCACTAGAAAAATTCAGAATTTTTTGGTGTGAAAGTTTCATGTAAACCGGGAAATGTCGAGCCTTAAATTTTTAATTTTTGTTTATCCTATTTGGGCTGGAACTGGTCAGATGTTATAAGAACTTCTCGAAAATTGTTGAAACTGCAGAACAATTGCGGCTTCTTTAGGGAAGTCCAGAGATGTCTAAAGATTGTACGGAAATTCCGTGAGCATTAGGGTAGTTTCGATAACATTTTAACTTCAAGGCAGTTCCAACAATTTGAGGAAAATTGTGAGCAGAACTTCTGAGGATATTAGAAAAGTTCAAAGAACTTCTGGGAAGTGCAGAGAATTTTAATGCAGTCCAGACAAATTCACGATAGTTTAGAAAGAACAGAACAGTTCCAAGATCTTTAGGAAAATTCCGGGATCTTCAAGGCTGTTCAATGACTATCTGGGCTGCTGCAAATTTCTGTCATGTTTCAAGTTATCCTGTCTACAGATATCTGTTGGATATCCATATACTCGCTCAAACTAATGGCATATACTGTCTGTTTCTCTATAATCCAGCGAAAAGCTTCGATATTATCACATCCCGATTCTTATTTTTAGACAAAGATAGCAAAAAAGACATGGTGAGATAAAGGGTGTATTCGATAAAATTGGCACATACATATTTACTCTCCTTAAATCAATTATCGGACAAACGTGTTAAGATTTACATAATTTGTTGTGTTCAATTTCGTCTCCCATCCCAAATTCCCGAACCTTCCTTTTCACTCCACCCATAAAATTTGGTATAACCAATTTTCCCAGTGCTGAGTACCAATGCTACCAACTCCAGGGAGGCAGCTCCTATACCTGGAACCTACCCAGAGAGGGTCTAGTAAAGGGTGATACGGTCAAAATTTGGTCAAGGGAAAACGCGTGTAAATCGGTGAAATCGTTTATTTAAAAAATCAAATTAAATTTCTTTTTCAAGTTCAATTAGTATAAAATTCAGGAAAAATATTCAGTTAGGCTTCCGCTTTTCCAAATCCGAATTGCCGGGCCTTACGCTTGACCCCTGCCATCAGATTTTGTACAGCCACCTTGTCCACCTTCTTCGCCGCAGAAAGCCAGTTTGCCTTGAACTGCTGCTCGCCCTTAGCAGTTTTTTGGTCTTCTTTAGGTTCCGCTTGACAATAGCCCAGTATTTCTCAATTGGGCGGAGCTCTGGCGTGTTGGGAGGGTTCTTGTCCTTGGGAACCACCTGCACGTTGTTGGCGGCGTACCACTACATGGCCTTTTTACCGTAATGGCAAGATGCCAAATCCGGCCAAAACAGTACGGAACAACCGTGTTTCTTCAGGAAAGGCAGCAGACGTTTATTCAAACACTCTTTCACGTAAATTTCTTGGTTGACAGTCCCGGGAGCTATGAAAATGCTGCTTTTCAAGCCACAGGTACAGATGGCTTGCCAAACCAGATATTTCTTTGCGAACTTTGACAGTTTCATGTGCTTGAAAACATCTGCTACCTTTCCTCTTCCTTTTGCCGTATAAAACTCCTGTCCCGGAAGCTGCTTGTAGTCGGCTTTGACGTAGGTTTCGTCGTCCACTACCACGCAGTCAAACTTCGTCAGCATCGTCGTGTACAGCCTCCGGGATCGCGCTTTGGCCGTCGTATTTTGTTTATCATCGCGATTTGGAGTCACTACCTTCTTGTAAGTCGATAGTCCGGTTCGTTTATTGGCTCGATGCACGGTTGTAGACGATACACCCAGCTTATTTGCGGCATCTCGGAGAGAGAGGTTAGAGTTTCGCTTGAAACTACCGGCAACTCTCTTTGTCGTCTCAGCGGCTTCCGGTTTTCGATTTCCCCCCGATCCAGACTTCCTGGCTGTCGACAAACGTTCCCCAAACACTTTAATTACATTTGTAACGGTTGATTTGGCAACTTTTAGCGATTTTGCCAACTTTGCGTGCGAGTAGCTCGGATTTTCGCGATGCGCGAGCAAAATTTTGATACGCTGCTCTTCTTGCTTGGACGGCATTTTGACAACTGAAGAGTGAATTCCAAAATCAAAATAGGAACAACATTCTACACACACACACCTTCAAAATGAGGGGTGTTCAGGTTTTTTAAATGCAAAATTGAAAGAAATACGTCAAGTTGATATTGACCAAATTTTGACCGTATCACCCTTTATAAGAGAGAAGCGGATTCAAAACAATCTGCCTTGGCAACCTATGCTAAGGTGATTTCTAGCTGCACTGCAAATGCAATCAAGATAGGCGCTGCTCGATCGGCTCTGGCTTTGACAGTTCGTTTGGCTCAAACCCAGCCAGTCATGAACCGGAGACCAACGGCTTTACTTCCCTTCCGAAGGCGTGATCAGAGATGTTGTGCCTCAGAACATGCCGGCGGCGCCGACTGGGCTTGAACCCAGACACCTTAGACTTTTAAGAGACATCTCGAATTGACATGTTTGGACGGGTTTTGAACTGTTGTACCACTTTCCTGGCCATTTTACTGTCCATTGGACCACTTTTAAGATCACTTCCTTTCTTCCTTCGTACGAAGGAGTAATAGATAGAGTTAGTGTTGAATAAATAATGAGTAAACGAGTGAGCGTGAAGTGTGATAGTCCGTATGTAAACGGATTCTCATTGGTTAGAGAATTTTGATAGGTTAGCAGGTACCTCAGCTCGTTGAAGACATTCTTGTGACGAATTTATGGTGGAGAAGCAGCAGCAGCAGCAGCAGCAGAAGTAGCAGCAGGAACTGCTGCAAGCAGTCAAGGAGAGCAGCCAAGAGCATCGCTGATTCGAGTCGCCGTGACCGAGGCTGGAAACCTCGGTCCGGTCACGACAGAAAGCACGTTTGATTGAGCTGAATTTTGCGTATATTATGACTCAATTTAATGTCAAAATTGACGCTGTCTTGTCAGTCTCAGAACAC